GGTCGTTTTATTAACGTCACTGGAAGAACGTTTCGCATTAGCTGGGCGAACTATGATTTTATTCGATTATGTTTTAACCTGCATGTATAGATGGGTGGAGTTTCTTTTGGTACTAGATCTGGAGTGTGTGTTTAGTTCAGTTTGCTGTTGGATTACTGTGAAACGAGGACGTTAGCCTGCTGTGACGGCGTCGGACTCGACCCGTCGTCAAACTACTATGGAAAACACTGGAATCTTTTTGTAGTTGGAAAAAAAAAAAAAAAAAAAAAAGTTATTTTCTTCACTAAAACTTGATTTTATTTTCAATGACTGACTGTGCGCGCTACGTTTTATGCATCTTTTTTATGGAAACGTCTTAATTTTAACGTGGTTGTAACGAGGATAGAGTTTTAGAAGTGAAAACCATCCAGATTCAGTCCAACGCGTCCCAGTTTCTGATAATCGTGACTTATATTTACGTGTGCACCTTCTGAACCATAAGGAGCAGGTTTGGGGTTTTTTTGTACTTGATTTGCGTTTTCCGTCGTTCCCCTGTCTCCGTGCCTGGACTACAGACGGCTCTTCGCTATTGGATGGTTTGCTGGATGTGTTGATCACTACTCGAAGTGCTTTCTTTGGTCTTGCATGCCTTTTCTCGAGCTGCTAGAATATCACCAACCCGCTTCTCCGTTTATTTGTTCTTCAAAAACACGTTTGTACTGAAAGTTTGCCAAAACGCAGTTAAAGGTTCACACTTTCCACGTCTTGCCTGTGCTTTTCTCTTTCTTTTTCTTGACACTAATATCGGCTCCGCCACTTGCAACCTTACTCTGGATATCAATGCAAGCTTTTCTAGGAAAAGAAACTTGCCCTTGTTCTGATATCGACATATCAAGCCCTGAGGAGCGTGAAGGCAGCTTCACTGACTAGAGACTTCAGTGCCTTTGATTTCACCAAGACCTCCAGAACCAGTACAAGCCAACGGAGCTCGTATCCCATCATGCCACACTCACCTGAGACACACATATGCACACCCCAGTTTAAAGGCACCCAAACGTGATGACATGAACAGAACTGCACTATCATGGTCATCCCGAGTTTTCTTTCTCTTGTGCGTAGAGTGACACGCTTGGTTTCTTTATGTGGTCTTATTTTCGGGGGGGCTTTAAGTGCCATTTGACTGTTTACGTCGTGAGTCGTGGCATTGCTGTAGCGCGTTCAAATGCAAGCACAAGCATCGTGGTACTCTGAGGGAAAACTCAGAACAAAGTCCTAGATGTACATATTGAGATAAAAATGGAAGGATATTTATTTACAGTCCCTTACTTTTAATGCCAGATATGTTTGAAAGTGTAAATTGTGATCCACCCCCTTCTCTCTATTGTTTTATTCGGATGATGTACCTTACATATACAGTACATATGTATTTTTTGTTTTCTTTTATTGTGTGTGTTGTTCCAATTTACCTCTTAGTAAATTATATCCTCTGAAAATTGGTAAAAGCTTACTAATAAGTGTAGAGTGATTTGTATTGTGTATTTTACATGAAGGATAACAAAAACTGGGGAACTTTTATATTTATAAAATGATATATTAACATTTAGTGTGTCAATATGAGGAAAATATAGGAATTATCCAAGACACATGTAGTTTGTTTTTTCTGAATATTTCAGACTTGAGCTCAGGCTAGCTTATTAGTGTTGTTTTCTTAAATTTGTGGCTTGTCTTTCAATTAATAAACCTTTTTCTTGTTGAAACAAGACCTGTTGTGTTCAATTGTCACGGGATTTACTCACCCGTATCGCCGAACCTCAATGCCGTCGTGTTTTTCTGTGGAGTACAAGAGGAGAAATGTTCAGGGAAGAAAAAGAAAAATAATGTTCATACAGTGACAAGCTCCAAAAAAAAAAAAAAAAAAAACTAAAAATATAAAATAGAGCATTAATGTTGCTTTATTCTACAATTAAGTTATGTAATCTTATTTACACCAAATTAAAAAAAAAAATTCCTCAATTCCACATGGAAAAAACTATTTATTTTTAGAAAGAGAAAATTCACACGTTTAAGAAATACTAGTAAATTGGTTGTAAATTTCACAAATAGTAATTGAATATTACATTTTTACGTGGAAAGACTGAAATCGTATTTTCTTGCATTTAAAACCTCAAAAAAAGACGCAAACTTACCTTTAGAAAAATGTTTTCATTTTTGCTCAATTTGCTTATTACGAGCTAATGCTAAATATTCACTGAACATTTATTCACTGCCTAATCTTGTCCACTAATAGATACAGTAGGGGATTTCTAATGGTGCGTTCACGTGCTATGGAAAATATGATTTTTTTCCCACTTGTGAACTGGTGTGTGTTGCGTTCAAGTGCTTTTGTTGTCGTAATGATGGAGATCCAGACCTGTTATTTAGCTAAAACTATTTTAGATTGCTCAAGTTAAGTTAGGTCTAAATGGTTAGGTCTAAAACTCAAATGGTAGATAATATGCTGTATATTTTCTAAATCATGTATAATACATATTTTTACCATTCATGACTCTTGCGTTGCTCTCCGCCATTTTGAAAAGGTCAAAGGTTATTTCATCTCTGCAACTGTGCATCAAAATATTCTACGAGATGCCCAGTGGAAAACACCACATGCGCAGTTTCCACGTCAGCTTTTGGTATTTACCATAATTACCATGGCACGTGAACACACCAAAATTCCCAGCATGCTTTTTTATGGGAATTACCTAGGAGAGTTTAAATTATTTTTATGTTTTAGAGCAGGAAGATTAAAGGAGACGCATGTTCTGTTAAACTTGTATTTAGAAGATATTCTAACAGCTATGTTTGAGTTTTGAGCTCGGTTTGAGGAAGAGTTATTACTGTCTGTCATTTTATACATGCAGTTGATATTTTAAATCAAAGAAACGCCCCCATCTTGGTAGCCACGCCCCCAAATCCTCTAAGAGACTCTGCAGCACAGGCACCTCCCCCTCATGAGTGGACACGCCCCTTACTACTGATTGGCTACAGGTGTGTTGTGGCGGTCAACAGCATTTCTCAGAATTTGCTTACTGCACCTTTAAAAATAAACATTCTTCCATGTTAAAGGAGCCATATAATGGTACATGCACTTTTACAATTGTATGATTGTACTGCAGAGTGTGTTGTCAGTGCCTGTACACAACCATCATTTAATGATAAAAATCCATCCAGTGGTTTTGTTTTAATCTCCTTATGTTTTCCCCTGCCTCAAATCAAGCCGTTCGACCGTGTGACGTCACACGGTCGCACGCCCCTCCCACGATTGTTGATTGACAGAAGTGTTTCAACTCGGACCTGCCCTGAGCAAGCTGTCATCATCATGGACTATAGTCCGTCATTGTTGATACACTGGAGCAGAATGGCGTCTAAGCGATTGTGTTGTTCTGTTCTTGTGTGCAATAAACACAGAAGTCATTCTGATGTTCCTAAATCTGAACCGCTGAAGACACAGTGGCTGAGTTTTGTTTACGATGAGAATATTCTCCACGGTCAACGTCAATACTTTCTTGTTTGATGAGTATAAAGCTGGTTTTGCTAAGAAGCTGCTCCTGAAAAAAAATAATCAGTACCAACAATTTATGTTCCCTGTGCACCTAAAGTTTTATTAATCTCCATATTAATCTTTGCAAATCAAGGGAAAAAGTTTTTCATGACCATTAGTTGTAACGTCAATCTGTCAATGAACTGTTTTACATCAGTAAACACAGCGTTCCTACCTCACTACTCTACTCTGCCAGTGCATACAAAGATAGATCTTACATTAACCAACCATTCAGAAACGTCCTCAAGCCTTGATTGTCGATCTTCTTTGTGGTGCGACTCCACAGATGTGTCCTCAGAGACTCCCGCTGTCATTCTCTCTCCAAACCTTCAACTGTTGTCAAGGTAACACTCCACGTGCGTTCACGCCTGCAGAACAGAAGGGCGGGGTTTATTATTTAAAGGCATATGCACTGAAACGGAGTGCTGAAAACAAGAGCTGATTTTGACCAGGTAAAATGGTGTTTTCTTAAAATACTAATGAGAATTTTTATATTACAAAGTTTTCATTTAGACCCTAAACATTCATATTAACTTACAAAAATAGCATTATATGACCCCTTTAATCTTCTAACTATCTTTTTAATTTTCACCAAATATTTTCTTGGTATGTTCCTAGTCTTATTGGGAATCGTAAGTGGCATCACTGTGAAAACACACTTTTAGAACCTTCATTTTTAAGAAAGTGTACGTGATTGACAAGTTTACATGGTTAATTGTTCTGGCATTACTTTATGTCAAAATAAGTTTAAAATTGCATAACGTTCCTTAAAAGTCGAACGCAACTAAGGGTAGCCTTCTTTTTTTCTTTAGTAAAACCAAGACAGGGGGGCTTATATATACCTCAAGAGTTTTATGTGTAAGGAGTTTCAACTTTCTTAATAAAGTTATTAGATATCAGTGGAATTTGTTTTACTTACCTGATTAGATGAATAAGCTCATTTCTACAGTGGATTTCCCGTCGAACTTTGTCGCGTGTCTGACAGAAATGGCGCGAATCACTGACTCTCGCGAGACACTGTTACCTCAGGAGAGGTGAGGCTTGTTAGCTAAAATTTAAGTAGGTTACCCGCAATTAATCAGGAAGCACGTTAACTAGTCCTTACAGTCGAGCCACTTGTAGATCAACAGTTGCTTTGTGATGACGTGATAAAGTGACGGGCCACGCCGACTAACGTTACATGAATACTAACGACACTGCTGACAATTTATACAAAATAGCTAAATCCATAAATTAACCACTATATTAAAATATTACTAACCGATTTTGTCATTACATTTGGTTTGAGTCAATGAAAAAGATTTTTACACATAAATGCGTATATATTGAGATGAACTTTCATTTAACATAGCCTAGTGGATTTAACGATTATAGTCTGATTTTTGCTCTGAAACATGCAAAAGGTGTCTGTGGAAATGAAAAAAAAAAAGTCACATGAAAAACAAGACTTCAAAATCAATTTTAATAGCATTCTGTATTTGTTAAACTGCTAAAAGTATGAGTTATTTGAGGAATCTTCCATTTCAGAACCTTCCTATTTCTTTTCAAACAGTGAAATGAAATCAGGCTCAACAGAAGTATGAACCGGTCATCAGATCTCGACACATGCCAGGCTGAACCGTTTCCAGAGCACGTCTGTCGGGTTCAGAACGAATAACACAAGCTCTGAATAATACTGACATATTTCCCATAATGTTCACGTCATGTGGCTTTCAATGTTCACATCAAAACACACGGTTCCAGTTCATCTCATATCGAAACATGCCCGTAATTTACTATATGAAAACTGATATTCTCGGACATCAGAGATTAATGGTATAAAGTTGTTAATGCATCAGTTTCCTATTAAAGGCATTATAATCATGAGTCAAATGGAGCCCTTGTGACCTTTAATCATTAAATCTGCTGCATTAAATCAATAATAAATCAAGGACAAACATCTTAGTACTGAGTCCGATTCAGAAGCGTGTTCATGTTTGTAAAAGAGGTGCAGGATATTTTTTTATTCACAAGCTGCAAAGAGACACTGGAAATAAAAAAAGAAAGTGCTAGTACATGTACTTGGCTAAAAGAAAAAGAAAAGGGCAAGCATCCAGAACACAAATAAAGCTGGTGCATGTGTGAGTTTGGACGAACCGTTTCGCTATGATGGTTAACAACGGTTAAGCCGATTAGCATGAAGAACTGATGTTTTATGTACATGCGATCCGAACCGCTTTAACCACAGAAACTTCTGTCTGAACGAACGTTCAGCCTGTGAGACTCTGGGAATTAAACCCATTTCAGGCTAGAGAATGTCTGGAAACAAATTCATTGAAACTGCTTTTGAAGACCAAACCCAATCCCAGCATGCACCTCTGAGGAGCTCATGTCTTTTTCATGCAAAACATTTGAGATGATAAATTTGGTTGCTGGAACACTTTCTGCACAGCGTTACTGGGGTCGAAGAGGTGAAATGAAAAAAACAAAACAAAAACAAATTGAATCTTTCAATGAAATCGATGCGTGTGCATCCGTGTGGCGTTGACCTCTGACCCTCGGAGGCGTGTGTCTCAGTCTAGCGGCGTGGGGTCGGCGATGGGCATGGTGTGCAGGACCTCGTCCAGCAGCTGGAGGGCCCGGTGCAGGTGGATCTCGATCCAGCAGGGCGTCTCTTTAATGCTCTGTCGAGGGTAATCCGGGCCCCAGCCTTTAACGAAACTCATGCGCAAGATGCAGAGCCGGCGGAGATCGTCCACGCCGATACCAGCCGCCGCAGACAGGCCTGCCGATGCCGGACACAAGCCGGATCACAATTAGAGACACGTCGTCACACACATAAAATAAAACAGTGACACTGCACAATAAGGTTCATTAGTTAACATGAACCAAGAATGAACAATACTTCAACAGCATTTATTAAACTGTGTTAATATTAATTATAACATTTTCTTATACGTTAAATCAAAGGTTGTATTTGTTAGCATTAGTTAAAGCACTGTGAAATAACATGAAAAGACAATGAACAGTATTTTTATTATCTAACATTTAAGAAAGATGAATAAATCCTGTAACAAATGTATTGCTCATTGTTAGTTTATGTTAGTTAATAGTCAAGTCACCTTTATTTATACAGTGCTTTTTACAACGCAGATTGTATCAAAGCAGCTTCACAGTGATAACATGAAAATAATACAAGTTTGTTTCTAGAAGAAAATTGCGTTAATGTCCACCTTAAGTAAGGCAGATATTGTTGAATATTAAATGTCCCCAACTAAGCAAGCCAAAAGCCAAGGCAACAGTGGCAATTACATTAACTAATCAACCTTACTGTAAAGTGTTACCGATAAAACAAAAAATCTATCATAGTTTAAAAGTAATCATAAGCTGTTTTATGGATCTTCACATACCTGTCAAAACAACATTAATGTAATGATTTTAATCTGCAGGGTTAAGTTTGCACAAGACTGACCAATCATGCAAGACTAAGACCATGCGTAATAATGATTTTACAGTGTCATAAGTAGAGATGCACCGATATGAAAATTTTGGCCAATAACCGATAATTCTTTATACTTGAAAGCCGATAACCCATATATTGGCAATTATATATGGAAATTTTTGCCGATACCCCATAATTATTTATACTTGAAAACCAATAACCGATATGTTGGCAATTACATACGGAAATTTTGGCCAATAACCGATAATTCTTTATACTTGAAAACCGATAACCGATATATTGGCAATTATATATGGAAATTTTTGCCGATACCCGATAATTATTTATAGTTGAAAGCCGATAACCGATATATTGGCAATTATATATGGAAATTTTGGCCGATAACCAATAATTATTTATACTTGAAAGCCGATAACCGATATATTGGCAATTATATATGGAAATTTTGGCCGATAACTGATAATTCTTTATACTTGAAAGTTGATAACCGATATATTGGCAATTATATATGGAAATTTTGGCCGATAACCAATAATTATTTATACTTGAAAGCCGATAACCGATATATTGGCAATTATATATGGAAATTTTGGCCGATAACTGATAATTCTTTATACTTGAAAGCTGATAACCGATATATTGGCAATTATATATGGAAATTTTGGCCGATAACCAATAATTCTTATACTTGAAAGCTGATAACCGATATATTGGCAATTATATATGGAAATTTTTGCCGATACCCGATAATTATTTATACTTGGAAAGCCGATAACCGATATATTGGCAATTATACATGGAAATTTTGGCCGATAACCGATAATTCTTTATACTTAAAAGCCGATAACCAATATATTGGCAATTATATATGGACATTTTTGCCGATACCCGATAATTATTTATACTTGAAAGCCGATAACCGGTATATTGGCAATTATATATGGAAATTTTTGGCGATACCCGATAATTACTTATACTTGAAAGCCGATAACCGATATATTGGCCGATAAATCTAAACACAATTTTTTTTTTCATTTTTGAGAGCCTGGTTACAAAAACAAAGGCTCACCATTAAAAGCCACATCCTAAACACACAATTATAATGTTCTCAATAGAATTTTTTGTAGCCGATATGACAGGCCTGCGCTGCACTTTATTTTCCTTTTTTAAGTGATTCCAAATATTTTTCTAGCAGTTAATAATCATCATGTTGAACAGAGTGTATCTGAAGAGTCTCAGCAGAAGGAAATAATACATTATATATCGGCTTTAATATATCGGCCCGATTTTATTATCAGGCCGATAACAATAATATTAAAATGAACATATATCGGCCGATAATGATACAGTGAATGTTATATCGTATATATACTTTACTCTTTTTTTTTTAGATTACGGGTTCTGTAGCTATAAGACTAAACGATCGAGTTTCCAAGTTTGTGAACTGAAAGCACAGCTCTGGAGTGTGGATGTGTGAAGACTCACTGATAGCAGGAGCGATTCCTCCGACAGACCCGGGTCCGGGGATATTCCCGGCCACTGCTGCCGCTTGAGCTGCCGCCGCCGCCTGAGCCGTGGCCGCCTGCTGCTGCATCTGCCGGTGGCACTGGCGCAAGTCAAACACCTGTAGGAGACCGAGAACACAAAGTGGCGCAAGACATGATCAGCTCAAAGTGGAGGAATCATATTTGGTCCCACATCTTTATAAATGTTACTGGTAGTCACTGTATGAAGAGTTTTTGGGTATAATATGTCACAGTTTACTTTATTTTGCTCTCCTCACTTACATAACTATAGTGTCCTGCACACACTAGTGAAAAAATATCCAAAATTATATAATCTGGTGTCTGAATAACTTTTGGTTTGACTATTTTAAAATGCAATTTATTCCTGAGAAGCAAAACTAAATTTTCAAAACGTATCTTTCAAGGTTTAATCCAGACGTTCCTCTGACCTTGATGTATGCGCTCGGGTAAATCTTGTGCACAGCATCGCCAGGAGCGCGGCCGGCCTCGCGGTCCAAGTAGTAGCTCTGGACAAACACGGCGTGATCGCTCAGACAGCGAACCCAAACATCTCCTTCACCTTTACACTCCAGCTGGACGCCTTTCCCGATGTGCAGTCTAGAAACAGACATCAGATCAGCTCCAATAGTCATCAATACGGCTGTAACGATTCAATACATATCACGTTACTGAACTCACAATAGCATATTATTGCGATACTCCAAGACATGATAAAAGACTTACGGTTGATTAAAATACTAAACTTGGTTTTACATTGTGTGTGTAAATGAATAGGATGGACAATAGAGACACCACAATAACAATATTCATGATTCTGAAGATGAAAATACTGAATTATTATAAACAAACATGTTCTTTGACTAGATATATTTAAAATAATATCTGCCACTTTTACTGGTAACATCAGACATTTGGCATTATCAGGACCCATAAATATTCCCCCGTTGCATTATTATACATTATATATAGTAGTTTAATGACTAAAACTCACAATATAATATTATCAATAGCCACGATTGTATTGCGACATATTGTGACGCGAAATACGTGACCCTGGTCCACAAAACCAGTCACATGGGTAATTTTTTTTAATTAAGAATCAAACATAATCTGAAAGCTAAATAAATAATCTTTCCACTGATGTATGGTGTGTTAGGATAGGACAATATCTGTCAGAGATACAACTACTGAACATCTGGAATCTGAGGGTGCAAAAAAAAATCAAAACATTGAGAAAATCGCCTTTAAAGTTGTGCATTTATGTTCACGATTGTGTTGCATTCACTCACAAAAATAAATGTTGTATATATTTACAGTAGGAAATTACAAAATATCTTCATGGAACATGATCTCTACTTAAAGGAGTAGTTCACTTTTAAAAAATCTTTTGCTGATAATTTACTCGCCCCCATGTCATCCAAGATGTTCATGTGTTTCTTTTTTCAGTCGAAAAGAAATGAAGGTTTTTGATGAAAACATTCCAGGATTTTCTCCATATAATGGACTTCAATGGGGACCAAACGGTTCAAGGTCCAAAAGACAGTTTCAAAATGTTTCATCAAAATGAACAAATCTTTTTCCGAGTCAATTTGTTCGTTGAATGAACCAAATGACTCGAAAAAAGACTGGTTCATTTTGATGAACGAGTTCGAACAGGAGAGACACGAACACGCATCACAGAACAGAGCAAGGAAACCATTTGAGCTTATAAAACTTAAACTTTGTTATTTATTTATTAAATGAGTGATCGTTTCGCTAGATAAGACCCTTATTCATCATCTGGAATCGTTTAAAGCCCTTTGAACAGTTTGCACTGAAACTCTCATTTGGACCTTGAACCGTTTGGTCCCCATTGAAGTCCATTATACGGAGAAAATCCTGGAATGTTTTCATCAAAAACCTTAATTTCTTTTCGACTGAAGAAAGAATGACATGGACATCTTGGATGACATGGGGGCGAGTAAATTATCAGCAAAAGTTTTTTTCAAAGTGAACTACTCCTTTAATATCCTAATGATTTTTGGCATAAAAGAAAAATCGATCATTTTGACCCACAGAATGTATTGCTGGCTATCGCCACAGATACACCCGTGCGACTCGTGACTGGTTCTGTGATCCAGAGTCACAGTTTGTGACACCCCCCTGTAATCCGACATCTACATAGCCCTGATTACTGTGCTACCTCGCCCTCTCGATGGCCTCTGTTCTGTGGACGTTGCTGAGCTGTCCGAGACAGAAGCGGTCTCCTCCTGAGGGATCCACGTATCCGTCCACCGTCACCACCGGGCAGGACGAGGGCACTTTAAAGGTCTCGCCCACTTGAACATCCATCTCGAAATAAGCAATGGAGCACCAGTATTCAGGAGCTGCTCGAGGAGAGAAGATCGTGAGACATCCGATGATGATTATGACTGGAATTTGATCACAAGAGGGAGAAACTCTTACCAGGATGGTTGGATATCGGCGGCTGAAACCCGATCTCGTTGTGAACAGGCCCTGAGGAGAACATTAAGATTATGAGAGAGTGCATATGCAAAAACCATTCAGGCACCAGATATATTTTTTGGATATATTTATGTACGGTAAGTGAGGAGAGCAAAATAAATGAAATGTGACATATTATAACTAGGGCTGTCAATTAAAGTTTGTGTTTACATAATGTATGTGGGTGCACTGTGTATAATTATTTTGCATATATATATATATAAATACACACACATGCATGTATATTTAAAAAAAAATTATTTATATATAAAATATTTATATTTATATATAAAATAAATTATATATATAAATGTATATACAATATACACATGAAAATATTTCTTAAATATATACAAGCATGTGTGTGTATTTATATATATAAAACAATTATACACAGGTGTCTGAATGGTGTTTGGTCAGAGTGTGTGTTGTGCTGGCCGAGAGCTGCTCACAGTAGTGTGCCGGGTGTGCCATGGGCGGGTGGTGCTGGAGATGCCCGTTCTGATGGTGAGGAACGCTGGGAGGGAAGTTGTTGTTCCTCGTCCAGGTGGAGGTGGCGTCTGTGGACAGAAGAAGAGACACCGGACCTGCTGTCGTCAAGCAGACTTTACTCATGCCTGAATGTGCTGGAAGCAGGAGATGCTGAAAAGCTTTCGGTTCTGAAATCTAATTTAAGGCTTTTTAAGACCTGCACAAATAAAACGAATACCGTATTGGGGAGGGGGTGTATGACATCCTAAACCGTAAAAACTACTTAATACAGTAATATTAAGTAGTTTTGATTTAAATAAATAAATAAAAACACATTTCACATTTAAACCATGATTTACACAATCGTTTTTTACATTTTTAATGTTTTTTAAAGTCTCTTCTGTTCGCCAAGGCTGCCTTTATTTGATCAAAAATAAAGTTAACACTTAAATATTATTCCAGTGTAAATCCGCTGATATACAGTAAAGTGTAATTTATTCCTGAATGTTCAGCATCAACAGTCTTCAGTGTCACATGATCCTTCAGAAATCACTCTGATACGATGATCAAGAAATGTGATTATTATCAGTGTTAAACTGTTTTTTTTTTTTTCAGGATTCTTTGATGAATAGAAAATTCAAAACATAGTATTTATTTGAAATAGAACATTAAAAAACTTGTAAATGTTTGAGATCAGTAAGAATTTTTTGTTTTTGAAAGAAATGAATACTTTTATTCAGGAAGGATGCATTAAATTGATCTAGAGTGACAGCAAAGACATTATAATGCATTTAGTATCAAATAAATGCAGCCTTGGTGAGCAGAAAAGACTTTCTAATCAACCCACTGGTTTACATATGAAGAGTTCAGATGCAAAAGCCTCTAAGTGCCATTTGAAATTTTCTTCTAGAATGATCATTTTTATCAAGCTTGTGTATTTAAGTTCAGTGATTTCACTTAAATGGCAATGATAATTACCTATTAATTGTTATTTAAGTGAAATTACTGAACTTAAATATACAAGTTTGATAAAAATCACCATTAAAGAAGAAAATTTCAAATGGCATTTAGAGGCTTTTGCATCTGAACTCTTCATTTATAACTGCATGTAAGCTGCATACAAATATTCTCTTTGCATTGGTGAACACAAATGATGCTTATGGACCTTATGGTAATGGTTACCTCTGCAAACAAAGCTTTATTAGGCCTTATACAGAGGTAATGTGAAAAGATGGGCGATGAGTTGTCAGGTATCATATAAACATAATTAGCATAATTCATCAACAGATCAATGCAAACGCGTGTCATGATGAATGAGTGGTGAACAAACCATTTCTCCTTTGAAACATGCAGTGCTCACATTCATTTACATCATCGCATAAGCCATATCGTGTTTTTCCATCCCCAAATCTACAACCTCTTGTAATTCAGATGTTTCTAACAGCATTTAGACTATTATGACCTTAAATTTGATCAGACTAAGAGTTAAGGAGCCAGGGTTGCAACGGTTTGATGATATATCACGCTATGAACACGTACGATTCTTATATTCTGCATGTTTGATTATCTATGGTAGTGGGAAAATACATCTCATATGCAACTTCTTTCCACTTGACTGCTTAGACTTACAACTTGCGTACAGCGAAAGAGACGTTATAATTTGCAATATGGGAATACTAGTTGATTATGATTTCACTTCTCTAGCTGTAGTTAGTGTGTAATGTTGCTGTTCGAGCATAGACAACAAATGCAAAGTACCGACGCTCAAAGTTCAAGATTTGCTTTTACAGAAATCGCTTTCTAAGGACTACAACAAACGGCTGGTAGAACTACACAAGCTTCCTCCCAGGTTAATGACATCACAAACCCTAACATTTACAAAAACCCCACCCCCGGGAAGACGATTTATCGATTATCATGAGAGAATATGCTAATAAATTACTAGAATAGAGTTAACTACACATATTAAAGCTACATATATCCATCAACTAACCATTCAGAAATGTTGTCACTTCTTGAGTCTCTCCATCTTTGTCTGACTACGGTTTGAACATTAAAAGCTAAAGGTTTTTGAAATCTTCAGAGTGTGTGTGAGGTAATAGGACACCAGCTATTGGAGCTCCGCCCCCTGTGTTGGGAGCAGCAGCTCATTTGCATTTAAAGGGACACACACAAAAACTGCGTGTTTTAGCTCACACTCAAAAAGTGACAATTTTAACATGCTATATACAAATATCTGTGGGGTATTTTAAGCTAACACTTCACACACACACACACACACTCTGGGGACATCAGAGGCTTATTTTACATCTAGTGAAAAGGGCATTATATCACCCCTTTAATACCGTCATACCGTGAAACTCTCATACCGTTGCAACCCTATAGCCAGTGGGTGGAGGTTCACTGATGGCTTACTGTGATGGTACGTGGAGGTCTGGCCTGGTGGGAAGCCGTTCTGCTGAGAGCCCGGCCCTGTCCCTGATGCAATCAGCAGACTCTCACTGCTATGGCTTGCTGTCAGAACACTACCGGGCTGAGCTGGGGAGAGAGGCGGCATGCACACATCAACACACACACAAACACACACACACCATTAAACACTAGGACTGGGTGACAGGACCATAAGCGTGCATCACAGCACAGGTGCTTCAATAACTACACTGTAAAAAAATATTGATGGTTTAACTTAAAAAAGTAAGTAACCTGGTTGCCTTAAAATTTTAAGTTCATTGAACTGGAAAAAGTGAGTTAATACAATGAAGGAGATTAATTTAACCATCAGAAACTCAAAATTATATGTTATCTGAACTAAATAAATTATTTAAGTTGATTTGACAAAAGAAAAAATGTTGTGATTACAATCACAACATTTTTTCTTTTGTCAAATCAACTTAAATAATTTATAAAAAAACTTAAATAATTCACTGTAAAAAAGTAAGTAACCTGGGTTGCCTTAAAATTTTATGTTGATTGAACTGCAAAAAGTGAGTTAATACAATTAAGTAGATTCATTTAACTATCAGAAACTCAAAATAATAAGTTATCTCAACTAAATAAATTATTATAAAGTTGATTTGACAAAAGAAAATGTTGTGATAACTCAATTTCGTTGCATCTGTAAAAAATATTTTCAAGATTTGTTGAGTTGCACAAAGTTCACAAATAAGCTCACAAACGACCTTGTAACCAATCAGATCAATGTGTGATCGTCAACAAGTGGATCTCTGAACTGAGTGAGTGGAGGCGGGACTTAAAAATTGGCAAGGGTGTCGAGTTGCATTGAAGATATTTTAAGGCATGAGGCAACTCATTAGTAATACATTTCAAATAATCATAACTATAAAATTTAAATAATAATTGTATAAAATAATTTAGCAATACACTGTAAAAAATGCTTTTCTTACTTAGTATCTTCGTCTGGTCCAAATATCTACAAATTCTTGAATCAAGATGCATTTACTTAAGTAGCAAAATGCCATAAGATACTAAGTCTTGTTTTCTGGGGAGAGAAATCACATTTAAGAGAGTTTTTGCTTAAAAAAGGCTAAATGATCTGTCAATGCGGTAAGAAAAATAATCTTAATTCAAACAGAAACAAAAATATTTTTTTGTAATATAATGTAATAATAACAATCACACTGAACCTCTCCGGCCATCGCGCCCAGCCCTATTACACACCAATGAAGTATATGACAAGGGATGCACAGATATGAACAATTCGGCCCATACCGATAATTCTTTATATTTGAAAGCCGATAACCGATATATTGATGAGAAACCGATATATTTTTGAGAGCCTGATTATATAAACTCTCATCATTAAAAGCCACGTCCCAAACACACAACTACCATGTTCTCATGATAATGTTATGTAGCCGATATGACAGGCCTGCGCTGCACATGTTGCACTGAACTGCATTTTCCATTTTTCTAGGAGACGAGAACACATTAAGTAATTCAAAACCATCATGTTGAACAGTGCGCATCTGAAGAGTCTCAGCTGAAGGAAATAATACACTATACATCGGCCAAATTTTATTATCGGCCCGATGAATATGATTATATATCGGTCGATAGCAATATATTGTGCATCTCCAAATAAGACGCTTAAACAAACGAGAAAGCTTTTCAGCATGGCCTATGCGATTAACTGATATACTGAGGAATATACTGATCATTTGATGTAGCCGATATGACAGACTTGTGCTGAACTGTAACTTTCCTTTTTTTTTTAAGAGATTCCAATCATATTTCAAGTAATTCAAAACAGTGCACTTTTGAAGTAATAGGAATAATACATTATTTATCGGGCTTTAATACATCGGCTAGATTTTCTTATCAGGCCGATAACGTAAAAAACAAATGTATCGGCAGAAAGCTTTTCAGCATGGCCTATGCGCTTAAGTGATATACTGAGGAACTGTGCGTGTCGTACTTGTGGATCCGACCGCGATGTTGGAGAAGGCGGAGCTGGAGGCGGAGCTGCTGCCCTCTGCTGGCGGGAGCATGGCCGGCGTGTTGAAGGGCTCCGGGGCCACCGGTCTCGAGGGAGGGTGTTGAATCGTCTGCATGTGTCCCTCAGTGCTGGGCAGAGACTGCTGCGATTCATAATCATATTCATCCTTCACCATCAGGCCTGACGGACCTGAAAGACATCATATAGAGATGCACATTCCATGTCAAGTGTATGAAAATGCATATGAAACACATTTTTCTTCCGTAATGTTATTTTAAGGCGACTTTTGAATGGTAACCAATCACGTGCATTGGTATATTATATCAGAGCATTCGTCTTAAAGTGACAGTAGCCTAATAAACCTGCTGCTGTCTCTGTCATTAAAGACACCATGAAATCAAAATTCTTATTTAATTTTGTTACATATAGTGTTTATGGCAATATCATTTTTATTGCACATTATTTATTTTGAATAATCTTGGATCAGAATAAGTTCCTCTTGCAGCGTCTCTTCTCTGTTGATGTGGGCGGGGCCACCTGTCACTCACATGAGATCAGCCAATAGCAAACCACCAACATCCAATCAATTCCACACAATCAAGCCACGCCCTAAATTTTTTCTCGTCAAAATTGGCATTTTAAATTGTGAAATGTAACTGAAATATTGTTAAATAAATAGTCAAATTATGCTTTAAAGTCCCCCTGTAGTCAATAATTTACTTAAAACTCAGCAATACTGTCGACTTAAATTAATTTGCAAATTAAAAACACCACATAGACACATAAACAACATTAAAAGCTGGGTTTTCAACACAGGGGCGACTTTAAAAATTTTGGTCAGCACTACAAGGGATGTGTATATATATATATATGAAGAGTTCAGATGCACAAGCCTCTAAATGCCATTTGAAATTTTCTTCAAGAATGATAATTTTTATCAAGCTTGTATATTTAAGTTCAGTGATTTCACTTAAATGGCAATGATAATTACCTATTAATTGTTATTTAAGTGAAATTACTGAACTTAAATATACAAGTTTGATAAAAATCACCATTAAAGAAGAAAATTTCAAATGGCATTTAGAGGCTTTTGCATCTGAACTCTTCATATATATATATATATATATATATATATATATATAAAATTAAAAAAAAAAAAGATTTCATGTTGACTTTAATTTAAATCTCTTCAAAACACGGCAAAAACAACCAGAAAGTTTTTTCCAAGAGAATATCACTCACCAGAGCCTGACAGCGTGAGTCCAGATAAATCTAGATTAGAAGAAAATACAGGTGAGATGAGGACATGATGAACAATCTTAACACTATTAAAACAAACATCACACGGTCTACGTTTACATGCAACCAAATCATCTGTTAGTAATGGGACTGACGGCTCAATCGCACTGAAAATCCTTCAGGTAAACACCGGTTGAGCTAAATTTCGATCCGACTAAAAGGAGTGTTTATTCCTTTTCAAATTTGATCGAGAGAACATGTGAACAACACCTGATACGATTGAAAACCGAAACTGAAAGGACTGCGCATGTGCAATGATGTAGAAACAGCGTAATGATGCATGTAGAAATCCCTTTAACAACAAAACGATTAAAGCAATCCTAATCATTTAACCTTATTTTTTATAATTATTCAACGTCAATCAACTGCATCTTATAAACTGCGGCACACTGACCGATCCCCGGAGACACGACTCTCTCGTAATGGTAGGGGTTCACACAGACGCTGTCACATTTGAGGTCAAAGGCAAACTGGCAGTACTTGACGTGTTTCAGCTCGTTCTTATGAAGGTCCGGCCATCGCCATAACCGTGCATAGATGACATGTGGGAATCCTTTACGGCCAGCCACCTAAACACACACACATAAGACTAGAGTTCAGACTGAAATGTTGATTTAACAACACCAATATATACAGATGTGCGTGTACACTTGATTAGATTTTTAATGCTTATAAAAGAAGTCTTCTGCTCACCAAGGCTGCATTTATTTGATTAAAAATACCACAAAAAAGTTTAATATTATGACAATTTAAAATCATCTGTTCTCTCTGTGAATATACAGTAAAGTGTAATTTATTCCTGTGAATTTTCATCATCATTACTCCAGTCTTCAGTGTCACATGATCCTTCAGAAATCACTCTAATATGAGGATCTGATGATCAAGAAACATTTATGATTATTTTCAGTGTTGTGTAAAAATAAAAACCAGGATTCTTTGATGAATAGAAAGTTCAAATGAACAGCATTTATTTGAAGTAGAATCTTTTGTAACATTATAAATGCCTTTACTGTAAATTTTGATGAATTTAATTCATCATTGAGGATTAAATGTATTGATTCCTTTTTATATTCACATAGAAAACCGATTGAATAATATTTCACAATATTAGGTTTTTAGTTTTTGAATAAACACAGCCTTGGTGAGCAAAAGACTTCTTTAAAAAAAAATGTAAACCCTACCGATTCAAACCTTTTGCCTGGTAGTGTGTGTGAGGTGTGTGTACCTGCAGCCGGCCGTCTAGCGTTCTCTGTATGGTCACACACTTGCTGGGATGAGCGCCGTTAGTGGTGATGGCAGTGATGAGAGAGTCCAGCTCGTCCTTCTTCTCCTTCAGCTTCTTCACCAGGCTCTCGATGGCCCGCTTGGCGAAGGTCTCGCTCTCGCCGCCCTGCCGGTGGCACATCAGGCTGTGGACGATGCTCAGACACGCGTCGTTACTGGTGGGCGTGTTTGTGATGGACATCCTGCGCTGGTTGTCGGCCTCGGAGGCTCCCGGTGCCGTTCGAACTCGGTTCAGCAAGACACTGCCGTCAGTGAAGCGTCCATTCACACGCCCTGTGAGGAAGCATGGAGATTAATAGTGAGATACTGAGGGGTAATAAACACACACACACAATATATGAAATACCAACCAAAAGTTTGGAAACATTACTATTTTTAATGTCTTCTGCTCATTAAGCTAGAATTTCTCTTCACACAAATTACAGAAAAGAGTAATATTGTGAAATATTATAATAAAGTGTAATTTATTCCTGTGATCAAAGCTGAATTTATCATCATTACTCCAGTCTTCAGTGTCACATGATCCTCCAGAAATCACTCTAATATGAGGATCTGATGCTCAAGAAACAGTTATGATTATTATCAGTGTTGAACACAGTTCATATTTGCATTGAAACCATGATGCATTGTATTTTTTAGGATTCTTTGATGAATAGAAAGTTCAAAAGTACAGCATTTATTCCAAAATAGAAATCTTTTCTAACAATATAAATCTTTTTTTAATCAATTTAACACATTCTCACTGAATAGAGGTATTGATAATTTCTTTTTTTTTTAAGTTACCCCAAACTTTTGAATAGTATATTACAAAACTATTTCTATTTTAAATAAATGCTGTTCTTTTTAACATTTTATTCAAAGAATCCTGAAAACAGATTATAAAATATATATTAAGCAGATGTCAAATATTAAAAGTGTTTCCAACACTGATAATAAATCAGTTTATTAGAATGATTTGTGAAGGATCATGTGAGACACTGGAGTAATGATGCTGAAAATCCAGCTTTGATCAACGAAATAAATTTTATTTTAAAGTATATTCAAATAGAAAACCATTACTTTAAATTGTAATAATATTTCACAATATTACAGTTTTTTTTGTATTTTTGATCAAAGAAACGCAAGCTTGATGAGCATAAGAGTCCTTCAAAAACATTAAAAAAGTAAAGTTTTCAAACTTTTGACGTGTACAGTACAGGTCGTGTACTAAAAATGTATAAGCATATAAACACACACACACACACACAAATATATATATATATAAACTTGTGTGTATTAACATATAAAATATATGTTGTACGGTTGTACCCGATGTTTAAAGCAAATAAAAGCCCCCAAATAAATAAAAAGCAGAAAAGTTATTAAAACAGTGCGGACAAACATCGTGTAAACTAATGTTTTAATTCGACAAAGCGTCTCACACCACAACAACTTGATCCAGACAGACTGCAGACTTACACACGATGTGGAGAAGTGCAGTGAACTCGTCAATGTGAAGACAGTGATTTATAAATGAGCTGAAGAGAATGTAAACAACGCGAGATCTGTGCTAGCATATCCTGCTAACCTTACATGCTAACTCACGAACTGCGCTTAATTCACACTGTAACTTCTACTATAGAGCGATAAAACACATGTAAATGTCAAAGTGAGTGATTAAAGTGCATACCTGTTGTGTCTCCTGGGAATGAATCGGTCTTCGTGTCTCCAGTTTGGGGGATTTTGATGTGAATCGTGTTAGCTGCTACAGCGCGTTACGCTAACACACTTCAGCCGGACTAACGCGTTTAGTAATCTCTAAAACGGTTTAAAGCGACAAGCGTTCTTCATTTGAGCGATAACCCCGTTAGACTAGGGTTCAGCATAGTATTTATAACCGGGTGAAAACAGTTACTGAGCGCCACGAAAATAAACAATGTAGCCGCGATGTTTTCGACGCACTCTCACGCCCAGCTGCGCAATATGGCGAACTGCGCATGCGCACAGAGCCTCAAAACACACCGAGCTATGCTGTTGTATTTGGCGCCATACCTCAATAAGTTATACAAATAGTGAGAACTTGTGAAACTGGCCATTTATTATGTGAAAGACAGCATGTTTCTAGGAGACATTGATATTCTGAAATAGTTGTACTAATAAACATATTATATTTAACAGGTGAAACGGCTTCTAGTTCTCATAAAAGCTCATTGTGGACCAGTGCATGTAGAAATATACACTGGGATAAAGATTGGTGTGTTTGTGAAGCATACAGTGTGAATAATAAAGTAAAAGAGGTTACATTTAAAATTGCACATGGTATAGGCACCAGCAGGGCACAACCTAACACATTTTGGCTCAAAAAAATAATTAAGATAGATTAATACACAATTAATATATTTTATTTATACACAAGCAACACACATCTCTGCTTCAAATGAACACTTAAAGTTGTTTTCTAGGACCAACCATTTTCGTACAGTTGCACTGAAAGACAGAAGTGCAATAGACATTCAGTCTATCGGATCTGTATAGTTTGATATTGTTTGTGTGCATCTGTACATATGGATGTCCATCCATCCCTCATCCAATCATCCTTCTATTATACATCGATATCATGGATAGAGATACAGGAAAGGGCTGCACAGTGTTACAATAAATAAATAAAATCATCAAATATTGTAATTCCTATTGAGTTATATTTGTGTGTGGCAACTGCATGCACAATTATTATTATTAATAACCATAATAATAATAATAATAAAAACAAGCTCAAAATAACATTTTATAGGGTTTATTGCATGAAAAAAGGCTTTTTAATAAATAAACAAGTGATCAGTGCATAGTAAACAAATGTGGAAAAAATCATTGTTTGTTTGTGAAAGTCCAACAAAGTTAAATGTGGCAAAATAAATAAATGGACAGATGCACTTTTATGATGGACAGATGCACTTTTATGATGGATAGATGCACTTTTATGATGGATAGATGCACTTTTATGATGGACAGATGCACTTTTATGATGGACAGATGCACTTTTATGATGGACAGATGCACTTTTATCATGGATAGATGCACTTTTATGATGGACAGATGCACTTTTATGATGGATAGATGCACTTTTATGATGGACAGATGCACTTTTATGATGACGGATGCACTTTCAGACGCACTTTTATGATACTTTTATGATGGACAGATGCACTTTTATGATGGACAGATGCACTTTTATGATGGATAGATGCACTTTTATGATGGACAGATGCACTTTTATGATGGACAGATGCACTTTTATGATGGACAGATGCACTTTTATGATGGATAGATGCACTTTTATGATGGACAGATGCACTTTTATGATGGACGGATGCACTTTTATGATGGACGGATGCACTTTTATGATGGACGGATGCACTTTTATGATGGATAGATGCACTTTTATCATGGATAGATGCACTTTTATCATGGATAGATGCACTTTTATGATGGACAGATGCACTTTTATGATGGACGGATGCACTTTTATGATGGACAGATGCACTTTTATGATGGACAGATGCACTTTTATGATGGACAGATGCACTTTTATGATGGATAGATGCACTTTTATGGACTTCAAAACAGAAACGGTCATTCACTGCCATTATAAAGCTCGGAAGAGTGTGGCCATTTTTTATTATAACTCGGATTGTGTTCGTCTGAGGGTGAGTAAATCATGGGCTAATTTTAATTTTAGGGTGAACTACTCCTTTAAAGGATCCATCTAGAACTGTTTCTTCTAAGAGTGTCATTGGACCCTGGGTTGAAGCTCATCCCAGCATTAGAGGGCCAGTCGTTGGAAACGGTTGCTGTTGGCGCTCAGGAATCTGACGGCTCTCGCCTCCAACGACACACCACTTGGGATGAGGTCTCATCCTGAGTGAGGGGTCGCACACTTCTCGGGTTTTGACACCTCCTTATCTCAGCTGTGGAAGAGAACGTGTTTGTGGCTCGCATGGCATGCGGCCGTCAGGGGCGAGAGAACACTCGCGCTCGCAGGAAGAACGTTTGGGTTGCAATCAATGTTATTTGATTGTGTGCGGCGGAAGTTAAGCTGATATAAATAGATGCTCACACTTAAAAGTAAAGCTTCTTTCTCGGCATCGATGGTTCCTTTAACATCCATACAACCGTATTGTTGGAAAAAGGTTCTTTAAACTAAGAAAATACACTCTAAAAATGCTTGTTTTAACCCAATTTTGGGTCAAATATGGACAAACCCAAAGGCTGGGTTAACAATGTAATTAAAAAGCATTCTTTAGAGTGTAATGGTTGTTTTAAAGAACTGATCACTGAGAGGTGCTTTGAAGGACCATTTCTGTTCATCACTGTGAAAAAACATTTTATTTTTTAAGTTTTCTGAAATGTTATGTTTGAATATGCAAATGAGGCATTACTGTAGGTAATTAAATATTCCTTAATTTGCATACATTTCCAGAACATTGGATAAAGCCGGGTTGAAAATTTTGTTCAACTTTGTCAAAATTGTTTATTTTTGTAAGAGTTATTAGTATTATTAATTAAATATGTTTTCATTTGCATACATTTCCGGAACATTAAGCAAATTTTGTCCAATTTTCTCAAAATTGTTTAGTTTTGTTGAAATATTAAGGTTTGCATTGGAATTGAAACGCGAAATGAAATAAACACTTAAAAATGTATTTTGGATACTTTCTTCAACTAGTCTGAAAGAACGCGTTATGAAAAGCTAAACAGTCCAAAATCTCAAAACTCAATGCATGAAAAACCAAAAAATGTTTTGCGTGTAAAGTCTCTATTTAGTTTGAACTTCTCTCATTATAAGTGACAAATGATTAGCAGTGTGTTGTATATTACAAGTAGGATGTGCAATAGAAAACGGAGTCATTTACAACAAGTAAATATACATGAGGCCTAAATAAAATGAAAACAGTCTTTCTCGGACTATCTGCATCCGCATTCCTTGACCACCATTCCTTCGTATTTATTATTTAAAACCACGACGCCGTTCTCGTTCTCATACAGGAGGGATATGGGCTTTAACTCGGTCGGCACACAGCAGGCTTTCGAGGCCCTCTGAGGACTCTTAAAGTTGAGCAGCGTTTGGATGATGGCGTGTGTGGTGGGCGTCACTTCGCGAGCGAGAGGATAGTTGCACACGCCACGACAAGTGAACGCCTGATAACCAGACGGCGCCAAGACGAACGAGTCCCAATGGATATCCTTAAAATCCACGTACATCTCGGCTCTCTTGCAGTCTTCCGCGTCAGCGCCGCGCCGGACTCTGGAGACGCCGTTGTTTAAGCGCACCTGCTCTTCATCTGTCCTCAGTTCGTTGTCCTCCTCCATCATACGACGTTCGTTTTGGTCATCTGAGAAGACGATCAGCACCGGCTCGTGTTGTCCATCGGGGTTCTTGTCGATGTACAGGTCTACGTTCGCATTCCTAAACGCGTTCAGGTTTTCAACGTGAACCTCCAGCCTGGGGGTCACGATGTTGAGCTTTCGCCAATGTTGAACAGCGTTCGTCATGTCAAAGACTTCCCACCCGCTGTCCTCACGGTGAACGTGCCTCGACGCCAGCGGATCTCTCTCACCTGTGTCGTAGCGTGCGCCCCGGTGCGTGTCGAATACGCTCACCTTCCACCCGGACCCGACGTGCTGGGTCGAGTCTCTGGCGAGGAGTGTGTGCAGACGCAGCTCGGCGCTGACCACGCGCTCCTGTTGCGGCACGGAGAGGTTGAACAGGAGTCGGTGTGTTCGCAGGCTCTTGCTCGAGGTGTGGTCTGTGGGAAAGACACGTTTTATTGATATAATGTAACGAACGGTTAAATAATAATAATAATAATAAGTATTGTTAAAATAACCATTGGTTTTAATTGTAAAAATAATAAATCATAATTATAACAATGACAATAATAATGTTATGCATAAATAATACAAATAATAATAATAATAATTCATATCATTATTAAAATATTATGGCACTAATAATATATAGTATTATAATAATACAAACACCAGAAGAAAAACAAGAAACATTTGAATTTTGAATTTAAAGAACGGTTAAATAATAATGATAAGTATTATTAAAATAGTCATTGGTGTCAATTGTACAAAAAAGAGAAAAAGATATATATAAAAAAAGATAATATTAATAATTATCATTTTTAATTTGAAACAATAATATTAATTCATATATATTAGTTAAAAAATATGATAATATAACTACAAACACCAGGAGAAAAACAAGAAACATTTGAATTTTTAATTTAAAGAACGGTTAAATAATAATGATAAGTATTATTAAAATAGTCATTGGTGTCAATTGTAAAAAAAAAAAGAGAAAAAGATATTAAAAAAAAGATAATATTAATAATTATCATTTTTAATTTGAAACAATAATATTAATTCATATATATATTTGTTAAAAAAATATGATAATATAACTACAAACACCAGGAGAAAAATAAGAAACATTTGAACTTTTAAATAATAATAATTCATATCATTATTAAAATATTATAATACTAACAATATACATTATTATAATAATACAAACACCAGAAGAAAAACAAGAAACATTTGAATTTTGAATTTAAAGAACGGTTAAATAATAATGATAAGTATTATTAAAATAGTCATTGGTGTCAATTGTAAAAAAAAGAGAAAAAGATATAAAAAAAGATAATATTAATAATTATCATTTTTAATTTGAAACAATAATATTAATTCATATATATTTGTTAAAAAATATGATAATATAACTACAAACACCAGGAGAAAAATAAGAAACATTTGAATTTTTAATTTAAAGAATGGTTAAATAATAATAATAATAATAACTATTATTAAAATAATCATAATTTAATTGTAAAAAAGAATGACAATAATATTATATATACATAGTATTTATTTTTATTTTATTTTAAATAATAATAATTCATATCATTATTAAAATATTATAATACTAACAATATACATTATCATAATAATACAAACACCAGGAGAATAATAAGAATAGTTAAACAATAATAAATATATTTCTTAAAATATTATAATACTAATCTAATAATATAAAAGTATTAAAATAATGATCACATGGTTTAAGTTAAAGAATGTTTAGATAATTCTAATACTAAAAATAATTATCATTTTAAATAATAAATTGCAAAAGTAATTTCTTTCAAGTTTTTTTTTTTTTAGGAAAAATCGAATAGTGATTTCTAAAATATTGCACAAGTACAAAAGCATGAAAAAATGCAAAATACACAGAAATACTCAATAATTAGTAAATCACAACTGAAGCAACATTGAGTTATTAAAACTGATCTGAATAATGACACTGTTGTCTTCTGAACTGCGGCTCATTTTGTTTCATAATTGATCAGTTTAGTTATTTTATTATTTATTAAGGTGAATCTTCTGTATTTACTGATGAATTTGTTATTTTATCACTAATGTGAAGCTTCTGTATTTATTGATTAATTCTGTTATTTTATTGTTTATTAATGTGAAGCTTCTGTATTTATTGACTAATTTAGTTATTTTATTGTTTATTAATTAGTTCATTTATAGTTTAATTAATGTGAAGCTTCTTCTGTATTACTATATAAACACATGTGACTTGACAAGCTACATAAATCCAGTTAAAAAACAAACAAGGCAGGTTCCTTTGCTTTTAGTAACTAACGTTTGTCACGACCCAATCCCAATTACCTTCGTTCCGGAAGCTCCTCACGATGTTGGCGGACGGCGTGGCGCTGCGCTCGGTGGCGAACCGGTTGTAAAGTTCCAGCATGTACTCGGGAGGTTTGGTGCGGCTGGAGCGCGGCTTCAATCCGGGCCCCGGGTCCGTAAGGTTCAGCATGTGGAGGAACTGCCCCAGAACCTCCTGCATGTCCACACTATCCACAGCTCGGGGAATCGGACCACAGCGACCCGACGACAGCAGCAGAACACAGAGACCCAAGACTCGAGGAAACACAGAAAGAGCCATTAGCAGGATTGTGAGTTGTTAGGATGGTGTGATGTGAGTTTCGGACACCTGGTGTGTGTTCTCTCCCTTCGGCCCCTGACAGGTTGATGTGGTGCGAGAAGAGAAACAGCCTCGTCCTTGTGGATCTTGTGATCGGGGACAGAGGGCAGGACTGCGTTGTCGACCCGCTTGTGCTGACAAGTTTGGAGATGTTGCCACTTGGTCTGTGGGCCTTTCCTGAGGGCCACTGGGTTCCTCACACTCTCTGTATCTTCTTTCCATGCATGCCTTTCTCAAACGTATATACGCTCTGACTACACGCACATTCATATAAACAGTGAGCAGACGCTCTTATTCACACTCTTCAAAATAAAGGTTTGACAAAGAGGTTTTCACAGCGACTCTATATAAGGGCCAAGTCCCCCTTTAGTAGGGCCCTATGATTTGCGCGATCACAGAATCGTGGACAGAATTGGCAAATTAACGTGGAATCTAGACTAGTGTGGGTCTATGTCTGGTGAAAATACAGACCGGGGGAAGCAAATCTGGGCGACCCCATCATTTCAGCTACAATGACGAAATCAAAACGATGAAAGCATGGCGAAGGAAGCGGCTCTCTTTCGTCGGCAAAAAAGTTAAAAAACTCAACGCTGTAAGCCGTCAGTGCCGAGCCGAGAAGTTCGCACGTGACTTATGCAGTTTTTCCCACACATAGACTAATTCGCCACCACATACTGCGTTTCGTTCATTTTTTTACACTATTAAAAACACGCAGAGTATTCTTGTCACGTAATGATCAGGATGCAAGTGCAAGTAACAAACTTAGATTTATTAAACAGTTATCCAGAATGACAAGAAATCAAGACATGCCAAAGAACCAGGTAACAATGACAATGATCCGACAGTTAACAACCCAACAGGAAAGGCTTAAATAGACAGAACTAACGACTAACAGATGTAACAATGATCATGAGGTAATAATCAGCTAATCAGTCCAGGTGATGACAATCAGTGCAGACACACACACACACACATGAATGGATCATGGTTAACCAACCATGACAATTCTTTCAGTCGTATTTCCTTTCCCTGCTCTCCCTCCGTCTTTCTATCACTCATGCGTCTCTCTTTCTCTCACACACACACACACAACGTGCACACCGCATCGGTCTATGAAGAGTGCAGTGTTATGTTGCATCATGCGGTATTTGTCCTGAAAAGGCTACTGAGTAAATGTCTGTATTACCTCAAAATTTAAGGTCATTCCTATTTTATTTGTATACATTTTAATCACATACTTTAAAAACACACTCTTTTTACAATTAAAATAACAGTCAAGGGTAAAAATAATTAATTCCCAAAAATTAAAATGGAAAAAACGGAATTTGGGAAGAAATAAAACGGATTTCATCATAGAGCCCTTCTTTAGTCAATCATTTTATCGCTTAAAACTCACGAAAATGACATATTTAAATGTTTTTTCTTCATGTCTTAAAATATCCTGAATGTAACTCGACACCCTCACCTCATTACGTATGTGCGGTTCTATGAATATGCAAATGAGCCCCGCCTCCACTCACTCACTCACTCAGAGATCCACTGGTTGACGATCACACGTTGATCTGATTGGTTACAAGGTGGTTTGTGACGTCAGAAACACCAGCGATTTCAAAGCGTGTTTTTGAGACTGTCTTTGGTTCACTGCAGTTTTAAGGAGCAATGCTGTCCACTTATCAACTTATGAAAGCTTGTTTCCGTCACAGAATAACACATTTTTGATAATCATCAAGATAATTTATCTCACCCTTTTTATTGCGAGATATAAAGTGCAATTCTGAGAAAAAAGTCAGTCAGTCTTTCTTTCCTCAGAATTGGACTTTATATCACGCAATTGTGACTTTATATCACGCAATTGTGACTTTATATCACGCAATTGTGACTATATTACACAATTGTCACTTTATAACACAACTGTGACTGTATATCACACAATCGTGACTTTGTAACACGCAATTGTGACTTTATAACACTGTGTCTTTATATCGCGTTATTGTGACTTTATAACACACAATTTCGATGTTATATCACGCAATTGTGAGATAAAAAGTCACAATTACCTTTTTTATTTTTTATTCTGTGGTGTAAACAAGCTTCCATATGAATTCGCACATAATTTGTCTTAAAGCATATTCAAAACACCACATAGACACATAAGCACATAATCAACACTAAAAGCTTCACAGAAAAGATTTTCACCACAGAGGGACTTGTTTTAGCATGAAGGGCATTTTAGTAATCTGAACAACCTTTTACCATTACTGAGAACATTTGAAAGGTTCCATGGATGTTTATGGGACCATCGATGCCAATAAACCTTTTTTCCTTTTCTTAAGCGGTCAGAGCGACATACTGAAAGATTGTGTGATCAACAGATGACAAACATTCAATAAAAGTGATTCCTGCACAAAAAAAACCAAATAAATATTATAAAGCCAGATGCAAACACAATGTTATTCCATAAAAAAGCATGGAAAACTGAAAAACTGAATCTGTAACATCACATCATCACAGCAAAACACGAGAGTCTGGCTGATTTGACCTTGCAATCTGAATTTAATATTATTCTAAATATTCACAAATGACTCTTATGAGGCGGTTCCTTTTAATAAATTAATGCAAAAATTCAGAAAAAAAAATATATAAATATATAAATGTATATATATATATATATACACACATTATATAAATGACAAGCAGCATTACAAAGCAACCACTAGGCGTCAGTGTAAACTCATGCGGTTGATATGTAATGTGATGCAGGTTTACTGTAAGACTATTATTTTAATAGCATTATCAGTTTGATGAGATAATGTGTATTCAAGCGCCACTTTGCAAGAGAGGTTTAAAGAGCACAATGAGGGCTAATTAAGGACTGGGATGCTGTGATTGGGAAATCGTAACCAGCTCGACATTACGGTTTTCCCTGAGGCCTGATTTGAGCGCTTGATTAAGCCTCCCTGCAGGCGTCTGATAGCAGCATCTACTGTGTATATACAGCGTCAGAGACACACGCTATAGACGCATTCATCCACAACAGCCATGCAGTGATAAACATGGAGTGGTTTTTAAAATAAGTTGCAAAATGTACGCCACAATGGAGAAACGGTGAGGCAAATGATCTCGACGGGAAGGGTTTAATCCGCAGGATGGACTGCGACACACCGCTGAGATTGCGGTCGTTTATCAGTTTCCAGCTGTGCTGTTCTGCCAGACTGAGAGATTCAGCAACAGAGAAAACACTGAACCACTCCAAAGCTCACAACATTTTAGGCTTTCCCAATAGGATGAAGGTTCACACAACATGAACCTTCATCCTTCGCTCAGGTCGCTGAATAAAAATATTTAAAACTAAAACAAAATGGTGTTCATCAGACTTTTGTCACACAAAATTTGGTAACACTTTACTTGAAGGGGTGTGCATAAGACTGACATGACTCCTTCATAATCACGACAGGACACGTGTTATGAATATGAAGGAGGGTTTATGCATGTTTATGACAACTGTTATTAAGTGTCATTCGCTCAGTTATGACATTTATAATGAAAATATGACATTGTTTGAGATGTCTTTATGATGACATCTTGAAATAAACCAATACATCATAACCTGTCAGTGTCTTTGTCATGACAACTCGACATTACTTTGACATTGGCTGTCATGAGGCATTATAACTGTGTCATGAATATTTTTCGTGAGCTCAACTACAGTGGTACACATTAAATTTGTCATTAAAGAGTTATAATGTCTTCATGACAGCCAACGTCAAAACCACCCACCTGACAGTTTAATGTAATGTTAACCCATAAAGCTAGGTGCTTTCTTAAGTTTGATGATTAATCTGCTATGTCATGTTTATGACACTGACGGGTTATGATGTGTTGGTTTATGTCAAGGTGTCATAACAAAGACATCTCAAACAATGTCATATATTTGCATTAAAAATGTCATAACTGAGCGAATGACATTTGAATGTTGCATAAACCCTCCTTCACATTCATTTTTTTTATTTACACATGATACAAAATCCAAACAGAGTGTAAAAAACAAAACGTACAGTATACAATCATTATTTGATATTGAGAAAAGATACATATACAGTGTATCACACATACAACATGAAACAAATGAGAACAATAATTGACAAAACAGAACAAAACAAGAAAGGAAGAGAGAAAAAAGGGGTATTTTTTTGGATAGTTTACCATGAGGGTAGAGAGGGAAAGCTGTGTGTGTGTGTGTGTGTGTGTGTGTGTGTGTGTGTGTGTGTGTGTGTGTGCGCTAGAATGGATTTATCATGCGTGTAAGTTTGTGTGTGATTGAGTGTTTTGTGTTTGAATGTTGAAATCAGCAGGATTGGTATGAATTACTGTAATCAAATTACTGTGTCCTGGCTATCCTCCTTCTTCATAATCATGACAGGACACGTGTCACGAATGTGGTGTCGTGTCAGTCTTATGCACACCCCTTCAAGTAAAGTGTTACCAAAATGGTTAATTGATTCAAGGAGTTTTGTGGTCAATTTGACCCTCTTAGAAATGAGTGGAAAGCGAGAAATGCTCCAGTACATGTAGAAAAACATAAACATACTCAAAATCCAAACTAAAAATGCTAAAACTTTACCAATTAATTATTTTATAATGTCTACACATGTATCTGAATCTGAATGCAAAGTTTAGGACAAACCGAGGAACTGCTCATAGCTCCACATAGAGCTATAAGGCCATCTAAAAATATGACTGAAATATCATATTACATTATATATTTTCCACAAGAGAACGTAAAGACACCAAATGTAAGATGTTCTGAGCTGAATTATAAGGGTTATGCATGAAATTGTGAGTTATTTTGAATTTAAGTTGAAAGAATGTGATTAAATGACTATATATTTTTGTATTTATTGATAAAATCTGGTAATCAAATGGAAAAAAATATTATCAAAATGAAATAAGCTTTCTGGACAAAAAAAAGAAAAATAAAAGTAAGTATAATTTTAGAGCTTCGGGTAATTTTGACCCGCGAGGGAGAGATGTGTTTCGGGACGCAAGGGAGGATGATTTTATGAATGAAACTCGTAAACGTACTTTACCAGTAGAAAATAATTGAAATAACCTGTTAACCACGAAAGTATCATTTAAGACATTCACTCACAACACTCTCTATCTGTGGTTAGAGGCATCGTTTCTATATTTCTTGACAAAATAAGCAAGCTGACATTCAATACAACCAGTGCCTTGTATTTAGAATACATACAAATGTAATTTACGTCTTTTAAGATTTTGTGTTTGAAGAGTGCGCATGTGCGAACGTGCTCTACCATGTAATATCAAAAATATCTTAATTTGTGTTCTGAAGATGAACGAAAAACTTACGGAGTTGAACAACATGAGGGAGAGTCATTACTGACAGAGTTTACATTTTTGGGTGAACTATCCCTTTAAGATCGAAGCAAACACACCATTCACCTGTATATGAGGATTATTCCTCAGTTAAAGGTCTCCTATATGAACTGTCAGTCTTGCAAGTAACACAACATTAAGACAAACAACTTCCAAAAATAAAAGCGCAACATCGTTCACATCAGTGACCTGCAGAATATTACACTGCACGAGAAGACAGATAAAACCATACGAAAATCTCACAATATTTCACTCAGAGTTTCATGATGAATGGCTGTCTTTTGCACATGTCACATGTCAAAATTAAAGTGTATAAATCTTACTCAGCATTACATTTTCAGCTCAATTTGCTAAAGACTATATTTGAAGTCGACATGAAACAGCTCATTTAATTCTGTAATGTGACATATTTGGAGTAGAAACGAACAGGACAAAAAAACAAAACAAAAGTAGGGCATTGATTTTAAATCAATCGTTAATGTTGAATTACAGCGTCCTCTTGCAGTGTCTCTTCTCTGATGATGTGGGCGGAGCAACCTGTCACTCACATGTTGGAAAACCACCAACATCCAATCAATTCACAAGTGCAAAATCAAGCCCCGCCCACATTTGTTCTCGTCCCTGATTCACTCGATATACGACACAACAGAGTAAAACACTAGATAATTCATCTTTAGCTAACTGTGTGTGTTGTATTTGTACATTTCCCTCTGATAATAGATCACTCCATATTGTAATATGGACTCGTGCATTTTCTATAAAGCTGCTGTGAAATGATGTTTACTATGAAAAGAGCTAAACAAATAAATGTGAATTGATTTGTCAATGACAGTAGAGTGAGATGTAGTTTAAGCTAAACACTAAAACCCCATCTGAGGCTCTGAGGACACTCGATTCTCATTTCCAGGAGCGTAAATAGATAATCCCTCATATTCCAGCATATTCTCTCAGGTCAGCTCGATCTCTCATGGGGAATCATGGGGACGGCACACAGGGCTGTCGTTTACTGCAGGTGTGTGTGTGTGTGTTCCTGCAATTTTCTCAGAAACTGGTTCTGTTGTCAATAGGTCTTTTGTTTTTCTATAGAGAAAGAGAACAATTTGTTTCGCTCTTTAAATGTCAGCTCGCACACTTTTCACCGTAAAGCCAAATGATGAAGCACCTCAGGTGATAATTATTATCTGATGCAGAGACAATCGTTTGAACCGTCATTAAGGAATGTCATTTTACTGGTGATGTTGCAATCATGTTCATCTCATGTGTTATCTCACAAAAAATGTATGTGATTTGGCCGAAAACGGCGCCTGAAAACGCAAACTTATGAGAAAAGGATAAACATAGCATATTCCACACATTCAGATGACATAAACCACACTTTCAATTTCAATAAAACAAAAAAATCTGGTGATGAAATGTTTTCCGTGTCGAGACAAATCTCGTGCGATGTCCTAAACTGCCTGGATAATCACAACGTGTGCCGTGGTCCGTTAAAGACACGTCCGATTCGCAAACTAGTGACTCCTTTGAACCGATTCACTTTAATGAAAGGTTAAAACAACTGATCTGTCTGACACTGAACTCAAGAGACATAAACCTTACACTTTACAATAAGGTTCCCATTTATTAAAGTGTACATTTGTTAACATTCTATTAATATTAGTTCCTATGCAGATTTACTCCACGACAAAACCAGTCATTCTAGAATGATTCATTCTTTCCAGCTTCAAACAATCTGGTGAAATTGTTTTTATATCACAATATATATCACAGAAAAATAAAATATCACAATGTCATTTTTTACCAATATCGTGCAGCCCTAATCCTCGCTACGTGTTTTCTATACATGCTATGCGGTAAATATCGGTATCGGCCATAACAGCAATATTAATATCGGTTATCAGTATCGGACACAATTTTCACATCGTTGCATCACTAATAAATATATAATATGATCACGGACTACTTTTGACAGTACACGAAGTTAATATTGTTATTCATCAAGCACACATTAAATTGATCGAAAGTGACAGTAAAGGCATTTATAATGTTACAAAAGATTCTATTTCAAATAAATGCTGTTCTTTTGAACTTTCTATTCATCAGAGAATCCTGAGAAATAAAGTGTTCACAGTTTCCACAAAAATATGAACTGTTTTCAACACTGATAATAATCATAAATGTTTATTGATCATCAGATCATCATATTAGAGTGATTTCTGAAGGATCATGTGACACTGAAGACTGGAGTAATGATGGATAAATTACACTTTACTATATATTCACATAGAAAACAGATGATTTACATTGGAATAATATTTTTTTCACTGTATTTCTGATCAAATAAATAAAATCTTGAGCAGGAGCGACTTTTGAACAGTACTATTAATAATGTTTTTCCCACAGACAAACACCTGATATTTACCAATGTCTGATGCAAATACTGACATCTAGTCTGACGGTTGATGCACACATTTTAATGAAAATATTTACACAAAATCACACTTAATCTACACAATATTTCCTCCATTTCATTCAAAAAGGAGGCTCTCTAAATCAATCTGGATAAATTTAAAAGAAGCGTTTCCATTATAAAACGCTCTCCGTCCACAATAGGGTGGTCAAATACAACTTTGAATTTTGAATATTCGTTGAATTTTTTTTTTTTTTTAAACTTGCACATTAAGCAAATTGAATTTAAATATTTTATTTAAGAACAATTGTTTCAAATATTGATGCGCTTAAAAAATTACATCTCATTTGAATTTCAATAAATGATGCGGTGCTTGATTTGCGCCTAAAACAAAAACACTGGATGGATTTGTATCATATGAGTGTGTACATGTACTGCCAACACACATTTCAGTACAGTCAACTTGTAAAAGTGCATTATATGACCCCTTTAACATGGCCTTAAATTACGGTATGACTTCACTGACCCTACAGAAAGAGGGAGATCGTTGCACAGTTTGGGTCCGACACTCTTACGTTTGTATTTTGTATTTGTTTTCAAAGCTCCCAGGCATTATATATTTTACTTCCTGCTTTCTCAATATCTTGGAAGTGACTTTTTCTTTTAACAGACACGGCGCCACTTCCACCTTCGGCTTTGTCGTCTCCTGAAGCGCTCCGATGCTCGAGCTCCAGGCGAACGCATCCGGTGAGATCGCTCTCGGCGAAGATCTGGTTTGTCCGCGTTCCCAAACCGAGTGGTTTTCCGCTAACTCCCGTGTTCAACGGGCTACAACCCTGACTTCCAACCCTGGGCTGTTTAACGCTAAATCGCCGTTTCCTTCGGCTACCGAAACAAGCGTGCTTCTGACACGCGGCTTGAAAGCCTCTCTTAAAGTTCTCGTTGAAGTAGCCGTAGATAATGGGATTGACGCTGGAATTGGAGAATGCTAGCCAATGAGAGATAGGGAAAACATAGCTTGTTAGAAGCTCCAGATTGAGCTCGTCTGGATGAGCGTAATCAGTCAGTAGCATTAGCGTCCACAGCGGAAGCCATGATAGCATGAACAGCAGGGCAACCACTATTAGCATCTTTATCACTCGAATCTTGCGTTGAGACGCGGGACATTTCGCCTGCGAAGGAATTTCAGGCTCGGCGCTGGAAAGGACGGTTGTGCCGTACAGTTTCCCCCCGATACGGCCGTACATTAGCATGATTAGCGCGAGGGGAATCACGTATATGTGCACGAACAGGACCGTCGTGTACACCTTCCTCATCTCGGGGTCGGGCCAGGTCTCGTAGCAGGAGTACAGCGGGTACGTGCGGTTGTGGTTGTCACTGTAAACCAGGAAATGGTTTCTTTCTTCCTCGACAGTCAACATTAACGCTGAGGGAAACATAATGGTGAGCGCGAGCACCCAGATCGTCCCAATCGACACCTTCGCGACAAAGAGTGTGAGTTTGGGCTTGAACGGGTAAACGATGCAGCGAAACCTGAGTTTCAGATGAGGAGAAAACACATATACGGGTCATTAATCTATCTTTTAAATTATTATTACAGTTTTTCTATAGTCGCTTTGAGAATTTCAATTCTGATCTGAGAAATGTACCAAAACAACCTGTTCTAAATCTTCACATCATCAGTCACTTGTGCACATCAAAAAAGCAGTTTCTCATTTCTTTGAACAAGTAGCAAATGCTTTGGTACATCCATGTAAATGATTATGTACAATTCTCTGCTGCTTCCTACATTATCAGTTGCTTGTAGGGCTGGGTATTGAGACAAATTTCACAATTCGATTCGATTTTGATTCACAAGCTTGCAATTCGATTCGATTTCGATTACGTTTTGATTCGATTCAATATTGATTATTTTGGATATCAGTTACAATAAATGGCCATTTTTCTCAAGGGAATCAAATCTCTGAACTAATGCTGTAAACTATGGGAGTCTAGTTGTAGCCAATAGACTTCATTAGCCTAATATGAAGGTAATAATGAACTGTTTTGTAGCTATACAAACACTTAAATTACACTTTTATTTATTTTTATAATAAGAAGATTATATGAAATATAAACATTTAAATGGTGGCTGACATAAAAAACTTGCCAGATTTATTCAAACATGCATTAAATATTGAAGAACATTAAGATTGTAATGCATATGTAATATGGTGTATATATTTAGCAAAATACTCCTCTCTAGAGTTATTTTTTCTAGCAGACTAACGAGTTTAGGTGGGTTTTCTGAGGTGAATATGACGATACATGACATTGATTACAAGCTGTTTAACTGACGGCTTTCCACGGTTGAAACGCTGATTGAGCGAATCAATGTGACATGATCCGGATTTGGATAAGTTGTACTCTATCTTTAACACACTTTCAGATGTTCATTCATGTTTATTTGGCGCTGTGACTGGTATTATTAAGCCGGAAGAGAGATCAGCGCTGCTGCTTCTCCAGAGCGATCTCACGCCACAGCGACAAAACACTATTTATGTTTTTGAATTTCTAAAGAAAATGGACGTAATTTGAAAACTGAGACTTTGTTTCATATCAATAGTAACAAAGGACAAAGATTATTGCGATTTTTTGGATGTGCGCAGCCGCGATACAATGATCCATTCTTTCAAATGAAACAGGATGACTAATCGATTCTTGAGATTTAAGAATCGATATCGGTTCGCAAAAATGAGAATCGATTAATATCGAGAAATCGATATTTATTACCCAGCCCTAGTTGCTTGTCATGTTGATCAACATGTTTTATAATGGGTCTCTGTTGAATAGTCTCACACACCACAACATTTAGCCATTAGTTTATTCATTGCTTAAGTCTTTACATGCAAAATGGTTAACCAAGTTGTCATAATCAAGCATATTCATATACATTTCCATTAGACTTTTTTTCTAAATCTGTCCTGTTCACATTTCGACTTGTTTATTTGGGGGGTTTTTTATTTGTGATTTGCAGTGCTGTCTTTCCCTTCTGTATCACAGTGACATGGTCTGTCAACAAATTACAGTATAAATAGTAAAAGCGTATTTTGTCCAGTCTCTTGCAATCAAACTCCCACACACACTAATGTGTGTAACCTACTACTTACAATACAGTTTTTCTCAGTCACTTTGGTACATTTCTCGAATCATCCTCGAGATTTGTAAAACAGTAATTCTCAAAACAATTCGTACAAATAGCAAAACACCGGATTACCTGCAAAAGCCAGTCTCTTGCTCACAATCCTTAAGTTCATCTCTCGATATCTAAATATATGCGTCAATGAACATGTCAGTGCATCAGAATGACAAGCCCTTGTGTCACTGTGTACGGATAAGACAGTCAAAATGCTGAGTCATGTTGTCAATATAACGGTGTTCACGGGAGGGATGTTCTGATGTAAACTATGGATGAAGTTTTGATGACAATTATTGTAAATTGTAGGTTACACACATTAGTGTGTGTGGGAGTTTGATTGCAAGAGACTGGACAAGATTCACATTTACGCTTTTACTGTTTGTACTGTAATCTGTAGACAGACCATGTCACTGCGATGCAGAAAGAAATGACAGCACTGCAAAGCACAAAGAGGAAAAAAAGAAAAAAACAAAAGTAGAAATGTGAAAAAAGCTTTTTTGATGTGCACAAGTGACTGATGATGTGAAGATTGAACAGGCTGTTTTGAGAATTTGAATTCTGATCTGAGAAATGTACCAAAGCGATCTATTCTAATCTATTCACCACTGCATTTCAATCAGCTTTAACAATCTGCTGATTAGCGCCAGATGAGAGCAATACCTGACACAATGCCACTGCTCTATTGTTCCCCTTCAGTGGTTATTTGATTTAATTTGGCTCTCAAAGTTATTAGCACTGACCTGTCCACAGCGATAGCAACCAGAGTGAAGACTGAGGCACAGACGGACGTTCCCTGCACCAGGCCACTCAGCTTGCAGACCGTGTTGCTGAAAGGCCAACCTGATGAAGACAGACGCATAATAATCTTAGAAAGATACATTAAGTTGCAATAGCCATTACATATTCAAAACAGTAATATCTTATACTAAACCTAAACTAATAATGACAAAATATCATTTGAAAGCTTATAATCTTTAGTTTTCATATTTGATTTTCCAAAACAAATTACAGAAGAGCCGTAATCTTAATCCATAAATTTGCAACAATATTTTTTTATACTCCAAAGGCGTGTTCAGACCTTTATTCTGAAATGGTGATGGACATGAAAATCATGATAGAAGAGTAGAAACCTCAGTTAGTTTTCATGCCAATAGTTCAAAATATAAAATCCTTTACATTTTTTGAGGAAAAAAGGTCTAAAAATATTTTAAATATAATGAAAAAAATTAAAGATTCACAATTTGTGAGGTGGCAGAGAGCTATGTTATTTCTATGTCATTATTGAGGTTGATTCATATCAAAATATGCCAAACTTCTCTTACTACGTCTGAATAGGATGCCTTATATATAAATATGTTAAAAATGATTGAAATAATGGTTCAGATTGATTGTGGAAATTGAGGCGCCCTTATATGGGCAGTAATGGAGTCTGGTTGTGACCTAGGGGAAGCGTTCGGTACTGCACCCAAAGCTCATTTTTAATTTTAAACACATGTTCAGAGTTTTGGCTTTGATTTTCTTGCAGTTTTAGAATCCACCAAGTTTTCAAAAAATATATATTTTACATAAAATATGAATATACAACATTTTTACATTTTACAATTTCATAAACTTAAACTTCTATAACATTTTTTGTTTCACTTACACATTTTTTTTTATATACTTTAACCAAAATCTGCCAAATGTCTTCTTGAAAACAAGACCAATCTATATTCCAAACCATTCTTGAATTACAACCATTTAAGTTCAGATTGTGAAAAGGGGGCACAACACTTAAGAGGTCAATCCGGATACATTTGAAGTTTGTTTGCACAGAAACAACAACACATGTTACATATGTAAAAAATAATAGAAGCTCCCTGAGATGATGCAGTGAGACCAAATTACTCATGCTATTCTTCTGGCACAATTTTATTAGCAAAATATCCCACTACATACCGGTGCATACTAGGGATGTGCGAGAGGGTTAAGAGGCTATATTCTGCCCTTTTATAAAGTCTAGTTTCAGGCTCTACTAGAACAGGTTTTCCTGCTTGAATGTTGATTATTCTCCTCATATGCGGCTCCTCTCTTCCCAGTCTGTCAGTAACGCTCTGTTTACTTCTCTATGAAGCCTCTCCTTCTGAAAAACACACTGTGCTCTGATTGGTCAACTGAAGTAGTGTGTTGTGATTGGTCGAGCGCTTCGAGTGTGTTTGGGAAAAGCTGCTGTGTGACAAGTGTACAGCTAACAAGCTTAAATTAAAAAAACAGGAATAAGTGTTTATAATCTGTCGACCCCAAAAAAAACAAATGCTAAAAGACACAAAAGTGGACACAGGCAATTGAGACAGAGCAACGTGATATATTACTCTGAGAACTAACTTAGTTCAAACTTATACCATGGTCTGGGTGAATACTAGATTGTGATTGGCTGCAGGGTGTCCATTAAAAAGTGACAGAGGACACCCGTCACCTATAAAGAAGTTCTGGTGAAACGGACTGTTCTCTGTTCAAAATTAATAAATAAATGTGCTGGATACATCAGCTGTGAGTAACCATAGCAACAGGCCGTCAAAGTATCTGTTTACAATTTATTGTATCAAAACAAACATGTCAAGTCAAGTATATTCATATAGCGCTTTTCACAATGTAAATTGCATCACAGCAGCTTCACAGTATCAATCAAATCATAATATCACTCAAAACATAACAAACATCTAGTTAGCTGTTATACAGCCACGTCCGCGTTTTAATTATAGGTTAAAAAAAACTAAAGTGTAACACACATGGCTAGACAAGCCTAACTTACATAAAAAAAAAAAATGTTAACTTTCTGGCTCGTGAGTTAGCTAAACTGAAGGGTTCTCCGAGCTGAGCGGACTATAGGCTAAATATCTCCGGTTGCTAAACTGTCAGGCATAACTAGGGGAAACCAAGTTATTGTTTGTAAAAACTTTAGATTTCGATAGTAAAACGAATTAAAATTTAAACTACTTCTGTGTCTTCAGCTTCACTCAACAGAGTCCACGGAGGCGGATGGATTGCGATTTTCAGATCATGATAGTGTTGCTGTCTCTATAGAGAATAACTCCCGCTGGAGGGACTTATATATTACACATTATGGGAATATTTCAGACACTATATAAAATCTGTAGGTGAATCTCTCACCTGTGATGAGGTTGTCCACTAACGTGGTGGGAATGCAGAAGATCCCGATCAGTAGGTCGCTGACGGCCAGATTCAGGATGAAGATGTTAGTCACGGTTCTCATGCGCCGGTTCCTCAAGACTATCGCGCAAACCAGACCGTTTCCCATCAGGCACAGCAGGAAGATGAAGAGATACGCCAGCGTGAACAGCGTGGCTGTCGGCAGGGAGTGCTGGTAATAAGGAGACAAGATGAAGCCCTCGGTTGTGCTGGAGTTGGTGCTGTTGGTCTGGTTCGGGCAGGAGACGAGATCCGAGATGATGCAGATGGAGCCGGCATCCCATAATCCCTCCATGGATGCACAGAAATCCTGGGAAACACAAATGAAATGGAAGACAAAAATTCCTTCTGATGCTAGTGACATTTGGCAGTAAAACACAGTGAAAACTTAGAAACCCAGTTGACTTTATTGATTGAGCAGATTTAACAACTGTTTCCAACAATAACTTAATAAAGCAATGAATAAACTACCAGTATACATCCACCCCATAAGAAAAAAAATCATGCTTTGGTAAATCATAAGTTTGAAATAAATCAACATTATGACATACTAGGTCAAAATTATGATGAAAAAAGTCGCAATGATGACATACAAAAATATCTAATAATATTTATCATTATTTTGACTTTTAATCTCTTGTATATTTTGTACAAGATCAAGAACAGACATTTACAAGTGAAGACAAGTATTGATATCAAAAGTTTTAACTGGGAAAAATTGTATTTCTGATATGTGAAATCAGAATTAGAAATCAATTCTTGATATCAACAATCGAATTAGAGCATTTAAATAGAGGAAATACATATAGTTTTTCCAAGCTGAAATTTAATTCTTTGTGTCAAGAATTCATATTTCTGACGTCAAGAATTCATCAAGAATTTTAGTTTTTACTAGTGGAAATTTAATTCTTGACATCAAAAAATGGTATTGTTACAAATAAAAATCTAATTTCTGATATCAAAAATTATGTTGAATAGGCTATTGTAGAATATTGAATTGTTGATGTCAATAATAGAATAAATGAAGAGACAAAACGGCTTGCCATAAGGACACACAGCAATTATAAGGTTTTGAATCAAAAGTCCAATTATGTTTCTTTTCTCTAACTGATTTCAAACAACTGAATCAAAACTGTCTTACATTAGATTGATTTTATGAATTCTGTCCTCCAAACTAAATATTAAGCTTTTGGGCATCAGGTAAACACAATCAAATCAAGCTTTTGTATAGCTATAAATTGTAGTGATTGTATAATTGGGGCAAGTTGTCTTGTCACAAATGTTTGATACTATTCAAATTACATGTTCCCAATTTTGCTGCTTTATGAATTGCTTTCCTGTAAGATTTGCTGACGAAAAAAAAAGATAAAAGAAAACATTTTAATGGGTTGTGTCAGTTGACAACATGCCCCAAAATCTCTAACGCATGTCAATATTTTGTTTTGTTTTTCCAGGGCAACAACCATGGAAATAGCTTTTAGATAGCTTCATAGATTTTAAGGTTTGTCTCTACAGAAATGTTAGGAACGTTACATATTATGTAAAACCCACTCACAGCATTCAATAGAAAAAAAAAATTAAAAACTTGCCCCAAAGCGCAAATCTCTCATCTTTTAGTTCGGATAATAATATATTCATGTCTAGGAGATGTTTAACAACATTAACGTTATATCAAAACAATTTTCGACATTATTCAGCCGTTAATATCGTTTTATCCCGCTCATTATGACAAAAAAGCGCGAAGAAGCTGCAGTGATTCTGAATGACAGAACTTCACCTCAGGTGCAGGAACTGATCTAAGTAGCTTAAATACTTAATAACATTTTTGTTGTAACGGTTAATGTGAGTCACAAAGTCTTACCTTTCTGTCCTACAGCTCAACGAGTGAAATAAAGCCAGTAGTAGAATAATATGAGGATAAAAAGAGCTCGATTATAATGGCGCGTCTCTTCAACACACCTGTCACGCGCTTCTGTCCAATTCTCGAATCGGTACTTTTCAATGATTCGTATGAACCGACCAACAAACCGTGTGTAAATACTTTACTATAACTAAGGCATAATTTTTTTTTTTTTTGGGGGGGGGGGGGGGGGGATTAATAAACAGGTGCATAAAATTAAACTCTCAATTATGTAGCTTGAAAAAAAAACCGTTTGTAAGGGAAACTTCTGAGTGATGACCTAACGAATCGATTCATTTGAATGAACCATCTAAGCAGGTCGACTCCCTGAAATTATTCACCTTTTCACACATCATTTACAAGTCACGACAATTTTCACATTTTGTTAGGATGCTGCAATTAATGTGGAGCAATAATTAGACCCGCTGATTAATAATTACTGCCACAGAAATGACTCGCAATAATTACGTTAAATAAAGCGTTGATCATGAATGCAAAAAACAATAAATAGCCTAGCGTATATTTAATTTTCTCAAGATATAATTGATTCACACATATTCATAATTAGGTCGATATAGAGTATAATTCCTCAAAAGAGTTGCAATTCTGTGTGATAGGCTAATTCCTCTGTTTAATACATTACCTAAACACTGAAATAATTTGACTGTAGGCTATGTGAACATGTGTTCACATTAAAAGACAGCATAATGAAAGTTGAATGAGAAATACATGTCGTAATTTATGCCACATGTCATTATCTGAGTGTCATTATCTGTTGTCAAGCACCTGTGCAGTATGTCTTCATCAACACCTGTATAAGATTACAACCCTTTTTTTAATTACCTGATTCAGAATCAGAACATCTCATGAATACTAATGTCTTTTGTTTCTTGTAGAATATACACACACACTGTATATAGGCTATACATATTTAATTTGAGCATGCATCTTGCCAGGGTCAGACGTAACAACCCAATTTTTGGGTAGTTTTTGTGTAACTCAGATCCTTGGTCAGACATAAACCTACCCTAACATTGGGTTGATACGTCTGACACAGGATCTGGATACCACAAAAACTACCCAAACATTGGGTTGTTACGTCTGATCCAGGATCTGGGTAACACAAAAACTACCCAAACACTGGGTTATCACGTCTGACCCAGGATCTGGGTTACACAAAAACTACCCAAACATTGGGTTGTTACGTCTGATCCAGGATTTGGGTAACACAAAAACTACCCAAACACTGGGTTATCACGTCTGACCCAGGATCTGGGTTACACAAAAACTACCCAAACACTGGGTTATCACGTCTGACCCAGGATCTGGGTTACACAAAAACTACCCAAACACTGGGTTGTTACGTCTGATCCAGGATCTGGGTTACACAAAAACTACCCAAACATTGGGTTGTTACGTCTGATCCAGGATCTGGGTAACACAAAAACTACCCAAACACTGGGTTATCACGTCTGACCCAGGATCTGGGTTACACAAAAACTACCCAAAGACTGGGTTGTTACGCCTGATCCAGGATCTGGGTAACACAAAAACTACCCAAACACTGGGTTGTTACATCTGACCCAGGATCTGGGTAACACAAAAACTACCCAAACACTGGGTTGTTACATCTGACCCAGGATCTGGGTAACACAAAAACTACCCAAACACTGGGTTGTTACGTCTGACCCAGGATCTGGGTAACACAAAAACGACCCAAACATTGGGTTGTTACGTCTGATCCAGGATGGGTAACACAAAAACTACCCAAACACTGGGTTGTTACGTCTGATCCAGGATCTGGGTAACACAAAAACTACCCAAACACTGGGTTGTTACGTCTGATCCAGGATCTGGGTAACACAAAAACTACCCAAACACTGGGTTGTTACGTCTGATCCAGGATCTGGGTAACACAAAAACTACCCAAACACTGGGTTGTTACGTCTGACCCAGGATCTGGGTAACACAAAAACTACCCAAACATTGGGTTGTTACGTCTGATCCAGGATGGGTAACACAAAAACTACCCAAACATTGGGTTGTTACGTCTGATCCAGGATCTGGGTAACACAAAAACTACCCAAACACTGGGTTGTTATGTCTGACCCAGGATCTGGGTAACACAAAACTACCCAAACACTGGTTTGTTACGTCTGACCCAGGATCTGGGTAACACAAAAACTACCCAAACACTGGGTTGTTACGTCTGATCCAGGATCTGGGTAACACAAAAACTACCCAAACACTGGGTTGTTACGTCTGATCCAGGATCTGGGTAACACAAAAACTACCCAACATTGGGTTGTTACGTCTGACCAAGAATCAGATAGAATTAACATGACAATGTTAATGTCAATCGTCTAACCCCGCCCGTCTTATCTCGTTATCTGTTTTATCTCCTTCACCTGTGAGCCTCGTTTAACTGTTAGGTTGTTCCCCATTTAATCTCCTTGTGTTTAGTCTTGTGCCGACGTTACATGTTGCGTGTCTGAGCCTTGGAGGTTGTACCTTTTATGTTTGTCATCATAATTAATCATCTCTGCATTTGAATCCACGTCTCTCGCCTTGCGTTACGATACAGTACTATAGTAAAAAGAAATCCACCCAGTATATGATGGGTTAAATCAACACATTATGTTGGGTTAAATAAACAACCCAATTTGCTGGGTAAAGTGAACCCAATATATGTTCTGTCCAGCCCCTAGATTGAAAACAACCCAAATTGGGTGTTTTTTAACCCAGTGATTTTAGAGTGCAGATAACTTTGAACGAATGTTCTGTTCCTGCTCCTGGAAGTACGTTTGCTCATAACTTTGACAGAATGTTCCCTGTTAGTAGCCGATACAAACTGTTCAATCTGATTTCAAACACACTAACATTCCCAATCCCATGTTAATTCTACACTCTAAAAAATGCTGGGTTGTTTTAACCCAACTTTGGGTCAAATATGGACTAACCCAGCCGTTGGGTTAAATTTTTACATTACATTTTTAACCCAACATTTCAGGTTTGTCCATATTTGACCCAAAATTGGGTTAAAACAACCCAGCATTTTTTAGAGTGTATCTGAGTTTTTTTCAGTTCATGTCAATGCTCTCCAGCATAATTGATTGTAAAACACAGAAATAGTCTTCAGATTAACATTTTTGTTCTTGGAACTGTAAGTTCAAGGTTTAATCAAGTAATTTCTGCCTCCTGCCGAGACTTTCGACTTCATCAAAGCTCCTGACATAATAAATGCAGAGACATTTCATTTCCCATTCTAATTCCACATGTTCTAAACTAAAGAAAATAAATTGGTGGTGGTGTCCTTCTTGCTTACAGTGGCCTAAACAACAAATATGCATGCACATTAATAAGCTATTTGCTCTTAACTAATCAAACAAAACTATAAAACTAGTTTATTAGCACTGTATGTCAGTCTCAGGTGCAAGAAGCCAAGCAAGAGGTTGTTAAATCTGCTCATGCTGTGTCTCTTCAGATTTAGTTTCTTTCATTACATTGCTTTTGCAAATAATGATCAGGAACACGAGGCGTTTGAAGGTGTGGAGTCAAGTAGGTTTCGCCATATTGATCATAAGGAGGTTTACTTTGGCTAAATTGGCAGTTTAATGAAGCTCAGAAAGTCTCATGCAACCGTCAGAAAAGCCGCCCACATTCCCAGCGGATTCAACAGAGCAAACACAGGCCACGACGTTAGTGAGCCAAAACAGCCCTTCCTTTCCTTGCAAGAAGATGTATTGGAAAATATTTCAAATGGAAGTTATAGCATGAAAATGCATAAAAAACAAATAGTATTTTGTGTATTTTTCATAACACAGGTGAAACTCGAAAAATTAGAATATCATGCAAAAGTTCATTTATTTCAGTAATTCAACTTAAAAAGTGAAACTAATATATTATATAGACTAATTAGTGTTATAATTGTGATGTTTATGGCTTACAGTTATGAAAACCTTTTCACAATATTCTAATTTTTAATTTGGGGTTTTCATAAGCTGTAAGCCATAATCATCACAATTATAACAAATAAAGGCTTCAAATATCTCACTTTGCATGTAACGAGTCTATATTAGTTTCACCTTTTAAGTTGCATTACTGTAATTAATTAACTTTTGCATTGAATTCTAATTTCACCTGTAATTAACCTAAACTTCTATTTTACTTTTTTCACCTCAGCAATATAGTTTTCTTTAAAAAGAAACCAAACTTAATTTTGTGATCCAAAGATTTAAGATTTACCAGTTTGTTGAACATTTTATTTTCAGTTCTAAAACAGTGAATAAATGGATTATAACAACTGCATTTATATAATTAAGTACCATAAAATCCACAAAAATCCAAAATATTGAATAAAAAAAACATGATTATGAACTATAATATTGTATATATAATTCAATATGTTTTTAATACCTTAAATAATTCCCAATAAATGAAACTCCTTTGTTTCCCTGCAGAATAGACGATCATGACGTTTGTGCTAACCATTAATTATTTAATTATTCATGTTTTGTTACAGTATAAGCCTAAAGTTATGGAATTTTATATAATATAATGATAAAATATATAATAAATAATCCTGTGAAAATTGGGTAATATAATGTAATATAAAATAATGCATGCTGATTAAATTTTTTTTTATACATACAATATGTTCTTTGGCAAAATGTGATTGGAATTTAAAGTGCCTATAATTATTGCAGTTATCTCAAAATATTGCAATTAAATCGAATAATCAGACGATTAATCAATAATCACTTCAGGCCTACATGCATTTAATATATATAAAGTGTGTTCCTTCAAATCATTACTTTTATGAGATAATGTGTGATATTGGCTGCAGAAGACATGAATGATGCTCATATTTATTGTGTGTTCTCTCTGCCATCATGTGGTCGTTCATCACATTACATATTCATATTCATATTCATATTCATTCTCACAGACATCAAAGGCACTCAAACATCAGGTCGCAGTGTGTGTCTGACGTCCAACAGTCAGTTCCGGATGCGTCTCCTCTTCTGTTAATAATCCTAAACACATAAACATCTGCATTATTGAT